TTCTCAGATTATGAGTATGCATGCAAGGCTGCTTTGGTTTTGCCTTTAATAAATACTATGGCTCAAACTTCATAAAAGCAAAAGTTGAGGAGGGAAAAAAGTAGTAGCCACCCTCTTCTGTTGCTTATACACTTTATCTCTAGAGAGCAGAGTGGTGTATTATTTATTTGCTCTTTTTCAAGCCTCTACTACAGGGCATAACAAGCGACAGACATTTCTATTTAGTGTTTAACATTTGATATTTTAGCTTTATTTTTTTTAAACAAATTTTATTTAAGTTTTATATTAAGATAATTTATCTATATTAATAGAATATTTTAATCCATTTTCATTTATAGGATAGAACAGAAGTAAAACAAAATAAGGCATAATTAACTTAAATACATACTTACATATCAGCTATAATAAAACCATTATGAATATCTTTCAACTGTCAGAATAATTTTTTTTAGTGCTAAGCAATACCCCCCCTTTACATCTCTGCATATATCATACATAGTTCAACCCTAAAATTTTGTACTGACAGGTTTATGTGCTTATAAATCATGAGTATTAGATTCCATTTTGGAAACTGATAATATGAATCCTGGATTTATTATTTAACTACAATGCAAATCATTAAGACCTAATCATTAAGATTACACATAGCAAGTTAGTTCTTCTGGTTACATTTCATGGCTTCTTTGTGGATTTCTGCAAAGAAAGAACATTGCAGAATGCCACTTAAAAGATAGTTGGAAGCTGCCAATGTTAGTTTCAAGGAAATCCTATTTCCTTAAACAATATGAAGTTATTTAAGTAGAGGAATCTAGCCTGATAGCCAAGCAAAGTATAAACAATAAGAAAAGTTGCACAGTTTTAATTTATATGGTTAACAAATCAGGTGTGAAAAATATGGAGGACCACCACCAATTTAATAATTACTGGATTTTTGCAATCAATCAATCTGGATTTTGATTGGTTTGTAGGGCAGAACATGCAATAAACTTCAAATTATGGTGTTACAACTTTAGCAAATATGCTATAACACAAGGGTAATATTTCTGGCCTTCAATTCCAAGACAAATTGATGAGTGGTTACTTCAGTGGCCTGTTCTCTGGATTTAGGATATCGTAAAATAATCTCATAGAAGAACATGAGAAATGTAAAGAGTTCATCAGCAGAATTATTAGTCGCAGAAATGCATAATACATGATCTATTTCTTTAGTATGGAAGCTATGACAGATGGATGTAAGATTTAATCAAAAATCTTGAAGAGGGATATTTGAAGTTGTAGTAAAAATTTGAAACTATTAATTTATAGCTGTGTTTTATAAAATAATAACCTATATTAAAACTCTGTGGTTTCTGTTTCTATTTCTACTCTTTATGGCTATATTGGGGAATGCAAGTGTAGCTTAATATTTCAGAATATTTCAGAATGTCAGAGTTATCTTAGCAGAAAATCTTACCCTAAAAAATTCCTTTGTTGAGCCAGAATCTAAAGTCCCATAAGCAATTTCTGTTTGTTTAGATAAATCCTCAGCACTTTCAATGGGAGACACCATTCTTTCCACCGTCAGGAAGGCAGCTAAATTAGCCGTGTAGGATGATATTATGATCAGTGTAAAGAACCACCACACACCTCCAACAATGCGCCCAGACAGGGATCTAATAATGTATGAAATAGATTTTTTAAATTGGAATGAATATCCTGAAAGGAATGCAAGTTATCAGATTTATGTATATGCTGCACTGGGTAACTTGGAGAACATTTTATTCATGCTATTTGGGAAAGGAGAGGTATATGTTGCTATGCATGCTAATGACATAGGAAAGTAATAATATTTTACTTAGATGAGGTGTGTCACTAAATTCAGGACTTCTGTATTGAATTAATGTACTATTGGATCTTCATAGGTCCAAGAATCCTGCAAAAGAAAGCTGCTTAAATCATGTTATTGCAATATTTTTCTTAAAAATATTTTCATGATAACACAAATGAATACATTTACAGTAAAATCAGACAAGATCAATGAAATATATTGAAATCAAAACAGAATATTTCAATAGGTTGAAACTATTATGCACAATGCAGGAATTTCTCTTGCAATGGATTCAATGGATATTGGTTGATAAATTAATTAAACTATAATGATATCTGCAGTTGTCATAGGGTTTTCACTGAGTTTCTTTAAAAATATTTCAGCATTTAACATAATGGAGGTAATATATTATGGAATAATATGTATCATTATAATGAAAATGTTTATGAATTTAGAGGTTTAATGTCACTGCATATGACTTTTGCCCAATCACTGCATGCTATTCATATTTGTATGAAAAACTCAAAATCAGAATCTGACAATAAGATTTTAAAAATATTTGAATGTAACAATAGCTTTGTATTATGGATCTTTATTTTTAATGTATTCTATGTAACGAAACAACAAAAATAAAATAAAATAAACTCTGAGAGCAATAGCTTATTTAGTCTCTCTCTTTTTTCCTTCTTTTCAATGCTGTCTGATTCTCTGCCTGGACAAGTCCAGTTTTCTTGGTCCTTCAGAAGTAGTTGCCATTACCTCCTTCCTAGGGCTAAAAGAAAGCAACTAGCCAAATTTCACTCAGCTGGCTTTGTGCCTGAGGCAGAACTAGAACTCACCGTTTACCATTTTAACCTTATTCACTACACCAAACGTCCTCTCAATATCTATATGGACTATCCAATTTCAGTTTCAATATTTGCCAAAACTTTCTTATGCACAAGGGCAAAAAGTGAAGCAATACAACCTTCCTACCTTGAGAAAGAATTTCTATCCAGTGATTAACTGTAATCTCTATATTTCCTATATCCTTATATAGGTGGCATTAAGGACAGCCTCCTTAATATCATTTATTCTGAATGTGCTAAAGCATTATCAATATGAAGTCCACACTTTAAGTGAAGTTCATCATAGTTATTATTTCAAGGTGATATGTAAAAAAATCCAAAAATTCAGCAATAACATACGCAGAAGCATGTTTTCATCCAAAATGAATTATCTAACTTATATGCATATACATACTATATAATACATACTGTTTCTAAAATTATTTAAAGTATAAATTATAACTTTATATGAATTATAACTTTATATAAATTAGGAGGTCATTATAACTGTTCAACTAAGAATTTCCCCATACTTTATGGAGGAAAAAAGCATTGTGCATGGCAAAGGAAATTTAGATGATACAGAAATGGATGAGAAGAAGTATTGGAACTACAGCAAATCTAAATGCTAGATTCTAGTCAGTGATTCTAATAAAACATAAGGTCATTTATCTAAGTGACCCAGACTCTACAGAACTTCTACAGAATTCAATTATATTTTCAAGGGTAATAAAAACATTTTTACAAATTTTCATTCCTACATATATTTTACCAAACTTCCATTTTTCCTTAATCTCAGATCATAAAATCTGAATTGAATATATAATTTTCACTGTATCCACTGTAAAAAACAATCCACAATTCTTCAAAAAGCCCATTCATGGAAAGATCTTATAATGGAAAGGAGGTTTATGTATTCCAATGATATTATTAATTATACTATTAGGAATATATATTCCCAGAAATGTAACTCATGACAGGCATAGATAAGGAATTAAATTAAATACACTCCACTGGAGAAGGAAATCACTCAAACCACTTCAGGATTGTGCCAAGAAAGTGAAATGGATATATATAGTCAAGATAATGTTAACATGATATTGGAGGAAGATCTCTCCCATCCAAAAGATAATGATCTTTCAGGTAAGAGAGAGGTTACATATGAGTAGCTTTAGTGTTTATGATACATCTTGATTAAAGCCAAAAAGACATTTAAATGCTGATGATACTAGAAGCAAAAGAAAAAAAATGCTGCAAAAATATGGAATGTCAAAACCATGAAGTCCTTGAGAGTAAAGCAGCATACAGGTTTAAAAACAAATAAATATATAAAATGGAATGAAGCAAAATTGATGTTATTAGAGCAAGAATTCAAGAGTTAACATTAACATTCTCAGAATTTTCTAAGTGAAATAGACCCAGGTGGCTCATTTTATATCAAAAGAATAGATATTCTAATGCAGTGATGGCGAACCTTTTAGAGATCGAGTGCCCAAACTGCAACCCAAAACCCACTTATGCATCGTCGGGTGCCGGGTGGGTGTGGCGTGGCTGCGGTGGCAATGGCAGACTGGGTGGGACTAAAAAGTTCAATCAATCAATTCCAACTTTGCAAGATCTTTTTTTTCTCCGCGAGAAGTTGAAATTGTCTGATTGATTGAACCTTTCTTTTTTTTTGCACACAACGGCGGAGGCCTAAAGCAAAAAGGTTTTATAAAACCCAGCTGAAGGCTGAGGACTGGGGCGACGGTGCGCGTGCCCACAGAGAGGGCTCTGAGTGCCGCCTCTGGCACCCGTGCCATAGGTTCGCCACCATTGTTCTAATGTAAACAAGAAATGGAATAGTTGCCCTTATGAACAAATAGGTATCAATATCAGTGCTGAGATATAATTCTAAAACATGACACAAGTCACCGAATTACAGAACTCCAAGTCTATATTCAAAGCACACACATATAAAAACTCCTCCCAACTGGAATGCGTTGGGAATGATTGGAATATTTTGCTTCGGTGTATGAAATGAAACAAAACAGACAACCAGAGTTCTGTCAACTTCTGCCAAGTAAATCTTTCTAATATTTTAAAAGACAATTTATATGTGGACTTCATGTACTGTATAATACCAAAATCCAGTTCTCTATATACTCTGCAAACAAAGATAAAGAAGGTCTATTCAGTCAACAGAAGCAATACCAAATGCTGCTTGCTACTAAATTATGAATTCCTTACAAAATTTCAGATTAAATTAAATCAAATAAGCAAACTAATAAGATTTAAAATATATGAACAATGTAGTATTCCATATATTTAAGTGATAGAGGTTTAGATTTAATGGATTATATTTGATAAACACAGTAGCTGAAAAACTCTGAACTGAAAATGGTGCCATAATTAAAGGTGAAGCAAACAAAAATATCCCAAAGTGTAAAAATAAAAAGTCAAAATGACTGCTGTTAACATTGGAAAATAGTAGAAGACTGATAGAAAGCAAAGGGCAACAGAGAAAATTTGCCCAGGTAAATACTGACCACTAGTGTGTGCAGAATGATGTAAGAATGGCCAATAATGAAACATGATTTGAGAAATCACAATGCAAAGCCTGTCCCTTTGTTACTTGCCATACAACAGTGCACTCAGGTACACAAGGACCAGAGGTTGCTCTGTGACATCACAACATTCTTTGCACCTTTTCGATGAAATCTTGCTTGTTGCATATCCATGTCACACACCTTTCCAAAGAAGACCAAAGAAGTACAAGAAATTGCATCTAAATATGCAATGCAAAAAAACTGAAGATAATATCTGAATGAACAGGAGCCTTCTTAATGCAAAAATGGGCATGATAAAAGACACACAGTAGGCAAAGATCTGTTGGAAAAAGAAAACATAAATAATATATGGGTATAGGGAAGAATTGTATAAAATGGATTCCTAATGATTAAATGTATGAAAATTTGATCAGTGAACTAGAGATAGATATTCTGAAAAGTGAAATTAAATGGGGTAGCAGCTGCAGGAATTGATTAAATATCAGCAAACAGTTCAAAATTTTACAAGATGATGCAGTTAAAGTGCTACTTACAATTTTTAATCAGGTAAGAATAACACAGCAGTGGCCAAGGAATTGGAAAAGATAAAGTTATATTCCAGTATAAAAAAGACCTCTCACATGGTAGATAAATAAAATTCAAGAACCCGCAATTCAGTGTTCAACAGAGATGGACAGAAAAGTGCCAGATACACAGATTGCATTCATAAGAGGCCAGCGTCTCCCAGATCATGTTGCTTAACATCTGAAAATTGATGGAAAAGGCAAAAATACATCTTCTTTTGCTTTATTGATTATTATTGATTATATAAAGGTTTTTAATTATGTAAATCATGAATGATTTGTTTTAAGATTTGGAATGAAATCTGGGGCAACCAGATGGTATCATATTGGAAAGAAGTACACAATGGTTATATACTGTATAGTCATTTTTTATTGAACTTTCATACAGAATATATTGTACAAAATGCTGAACTAGAAATTAAAATTGCTGGAAGAAACATCAGCAACCTTTTTGATGCCTGGAAGTGAGGAAGATATAAGAAATATTTTGGTAAAGATGAAAGAAGGCAATGAAAAAGCTGCCCTAGACCCTCTCTGTCAATCACACACACACACACACACACACACACACACACACATTCTGCATTAGAGACTTCCATAATATTTGCCTGGTCAACCTGATCTAACAGATTTGGCATGCTTCAGGCTCCTTCAATTAAACAACCGAAGTGCACTTTCTCTGAAACAATTGCCCTCTAGAATAAAGTTGCCCAAGAGGTTTAAACAGTTCATTTCCTACTGGTGTTCCAAAGGATCTTGAAGAACTGGTATTTTGCCCAGGCTTTTTGCAACTGAATCCATTTTTTCTTTTTCTTTGTTCTCATCTGGTTCTTTGACATCTTTGCTCTTTTTTGCTTTATGTTGCATTTTTCTTTTAATTTTGTTTTACATTTTGTAAGCTGTATATATGTATATGTTTATATATATATATATATATATATATATATATATATGTATGTATGTATGTATGTATGTATGTATGTATGTATGTATGTATGTATGTCTATCCCCCCCAAGATTATGTCAATAGAAAATGCCAACCACATATAAATGGCCAGATAAGAAGTTAAATCAGTTGTAAGATACATATATGAAAACTGGTTCATCAGAATGGTTGAATGATAAAAAATACCTGGTGACTCTGAACTGTAGTTCTGAAAATACTGTTGAGAAAATTTGAATATTTTGCATAGGAAATATATAATATATGGACAATAGTCAGTGGAGAAGATCCTAATGCTTGGAAAAATGGAAAACGATCAATTAAAAAGCCAGTAGAAAGCAAGGTGGCTAGATACTATCTCTGATAACACAAAGATAATCTTAAAAGAACTTGAAGAAGCATTTACTGACAATCCAGAGGAAGTGATGTCTAGCAGAGTAGTATAGTATAGGTAGCAACTAAATAACTAAACCACACTTTGGAAATACTTTCTAGTTAGCAGTACAGTGGCTGGACACCATCAAAGCTGACACCAGCCAGAGCATAGAAAAATTCAAAAAAGCAGTACAAGATCAGAAGAATTGGGCCATAGAATTGCCAAAAGTTGGACATGACTGAATGGATGATCATCATCATCATTTTCCCCCAAATTTATTTAGATTATTCGGACAATTCCTTTGTGTTTTATGTTCCTTGATAGAACTCAGTGCTAAGGTAGCAGGTTCCTATAACCCGAAAGAGGTAGAATATGCAAAAGAGAAATTCTCTTCATTGTATCTGATCTTTTTTCTGAAAGGTAAACATAATAGGTCAGTTATAATAGTGAAACCCTGACAAAAGCCCATCCTAGCAATTCTTAGGGACAGACTTAATTTCAGTTCTGAAATAATGTCTGTACTCAATATGATGTAGCCCCATCAGAATATGATGTGTGCCCCATTAGAATTGTTGAGTTTCAGCCAAAGCATGAAGGAAATGGAAAAGTTGGTAATACTGTGGAAAGAAATAAAACAGACATGAGCATAGTATGGTTCATAAAATAAACATCTATCTGAATTTATGTTTGGAAATCAGTAGGAAACTTCCATGTATGCTGTAATTGGTTCCAAAGACCATTAAGTTACAAAAAAGATTTTTCTTGTTTAAAGCCTAGTGGTTTTGCTGAAAGGAGAAAGGGAATTCATGTGCTAGATGGCACAATAGGTATTTTTGTGATGACAACCATTCTCATTTATCATTAACAACATGCTATCCTTTTTCCCATTACAGCATCTGTGAAATCAGTGCACTTTTTACTGTAAATGGGAATATGCAGCAAAAACACGGTACCCCTCCAAGAAGGCAGGAAATGAGAGAAACCTTATGCATTTTGCAGCCTCTGCATGGTGCATATAAGTCCACCAGATGAAGAACAATGGATGTTAGGAACAAATCAATTGAATTGTCTTCTGCCTACTAAAACTGATCGTTTTAGTAAAGGCTGCAGATGATTTTGGAAAACTTGTCAGCAGCCAGTATTTATTTAAAGTGAATCTATAAGCACCATAAATATCCTTAATGAGACCAAAATGCACAAAGCTGAGACAGGTGTGTAACCAACCTTGGCGAAATATCGCATCCTTGCTGCATAAAGGCACCCAAGGAAAACCAGAGACTATTAAATATCCCAAATTCATTAGTTGATTCGTTACTTTGCGTTTCTCTTCCATCTTCAAACTCCTCAGTGTGCCACTCGTAAGGGCTAAATCTGCTGACCAGGAATAAAACAACACTGACCCCAATGTAGGCAAAAACAATGCACATCCAGATCTCATATGCTAAGGGATCAAGAAAGGAAAACACTCCTGGTTTGGACTTCTGTGGCTTCTTGATCATTATAGATATCCCGAGGCTCATAAAAGGCTTTGAGAAGTCAATCACTTCTTCTCTCACCAGTGTTATAGTTAATGGAGCAATTGCAATATCAGCTTTCTGTAATGGAAGCAAAACAAATAATAAGGTATTTAACAAGGGAATGGCTTCATTGTTTTTGTACCTTGCAAATGAATAATACAATGCCAAGGGAAAAGACAATAACTATTTCAATGCTAGCATCTACTAAGTCAATCTGCCTCAATATTCTTGTTACTGATACATATTCAAGTTTCATCATATAGGAGGACAGTTTTTCATAATCATACTATGAACATTGGTGGAATACAACTTTTACCCCCTACATTTAAGAACTTTTGTAGGAAAAAAATGATGAAATGCATTTGTAATTACCTGTTTTCTAAAATATGTGACCTTGCTTTAATCCAAGTGAATTTCAGTTGCCATATTAACAGGTACTGAACTTATCTTCATTAATTAAACACTTGCAATGGTTAAAATTGGCTCTTACCCCATAAACAAGTTCTCCAACCATTCCATTCCAGATTTTTGTTTCTGCATCCCTGGCCCCATACTTGCCATCCCCAACAATTGTGAGTTTGTACTTGAACCCACAGTGTTTGGCAATTTCTGCAGCTAAGTCCACACAGTAGCCCTCATATCGTTCATTTCCTTCAAGTAATTCAAAATTTTTCTTCATCATGACATATGGGGATTCCTGTACAGAGAAACTTGGCTTTAGCTGATTAATAAAGCTATCAAATTAGTTGCCTAGTTGTTATATACCCTTTGAAGCACAATAAGTAAATAAGAAAAAAAACTTTTTTCATAAATGTTCAGGATTATTTATTTATCAATTACCACAGTAACATTTTTTACAGTTGTATAATGCCTTACAGGTAGAGGGATTTATTTTTAAAAAAACAAATTCATAATTTTTATTAGCATTAGTGGAATCACTATAACAAGAACATTTTAAACACTTTTTTAAAGCTTTCAAAATAATATATCAGAATATTCATGTATATTTCATAATGTTTTATATTTCTCAATTCCCACCAAACCAAAATTGATTATATAGATTTATAATAAACATAGAACTGTCAAAAAAATCTTACCACCACCAAAACAGTTGATAAAATGTTGATGCCTTTAGTATATAATCCAGAACAGTTATGCCTTGAATGAACAACTTCATACAATTGTTAGCTTACTAGGAAAACAATATGGCATTCTTAAATTTCTATAATATTGTAACTGTATATTGATAAAGTCTTAGTTTAGTGGAAAAATGTAAATGGCTGTGGTTAAAAAAATAATAAAAAAACCCTCCTTGAAACTGGTTTCATTCTCATTTTCTGTCTTTGATTTAAATATTTTAAAAGTACATCTATCACAATAATTGCCATTTATGGAAAATAAAAAATAGTGATACATTTCAAAATTCTGAAGAGATTTTGAAGTTATAAACAGTATTTCTTAATTTTTACACATTCATGGGAAAAAAAACCAGATAGTGATTATCTATCTATACCAACATAGATTGAGAATGAATAATAAGATGACAACTTAGAGAATCCATGTCACAAAAAATATGCTTAATTACCAAAATAGTGGTGACAATAATAGTCTTATTTTCTAATCCTGAGGTATCATTGCCAGAGAGACCATCCATGGGATTCACAACCATTCTGTCCACCTCACTCCAATATCCAATCTGAAAATAGTGGTAAATTGTATTCAAATGAACAAATATTTTTTGTATTTTTTGACAAATTACAATCCCACATCATATTCAAGCCTATTGAATATACTCAAGAAGTGGTGATTTCTATATATTTGCTGCAAAAATATTTTGTGTGGTGTTTGAAATAGCAATATAGAGAGTCATCAAAGAATTATGAGAACAATGATAATTTTTGTAGGATTCAATTTACCGCTGAAGGGAGAAAAATGCATTTTACTATACCCAAATTAAAATTTCCATGGCTCTTGAATTTCAGTTAAAGTGTTAATTTATGCACAAAAGTTCATGGGTCATTAATTATACATTGCACTCATTATTTAATATAACCAAGCAAAAGTTAAAGAATTCTGTAGCAAAATACCTTAGTTTCAAAGTAAAATATATATGATTATAGATCATAGTAACTATAGTATGATCTATATTTTTTATTTCAAACATGTAGCATTTTAAAAAGAATCCTAAGGAATTTATAAACATACATTAATGAAATTTCTTGTATCATACACTACATTTTAATATATTTATTTTTCTTGTACTATTTAGAAAGAATGTAATAATAATAATAATAATAATAATAATAATAATAATAATAATAATAATAATAAAAAATCTTTATTGATTAGCCCTTGGGCCATATCAAAGTGCAAAGTTCCAGCAACAAATTATTACTAAAGTTTGATAAAAGCAATTTAAAATGAAAGAATGTAGAAAAGAATGTAGAAATAACTTTCTATTTATCATAGATTTACCTTCCGAGGACCAGTACTTTTCAGCTCCATGACATTTATCGTAAAATTAATTCTCTTTCCATTCTGGTCAAACTTTATATTTCCAGTTAAGCCTTCCACCTGAACCTATATGAAGTAAAAAAAAATGGAAAGCATACTAAAGGACAACAAATAAACATATGAAATTTATTTATTTATTTACTGTGCTCATAGACAAAGAATAGCTATTTTATGTATTGCTAAGAAGTTCTCCCAGAAATAATAGGTATAATAATCCAAGGTTTTCATATGAAGTAAAATGAAGTGCAATTGAAGACTTCCCCAGATAATTGAAAATATCTACATTAGTTCTACCTGTTTCAATGCCCTTTCTATTTCTACACCATGAGACCAAGGCACTGCCGGGTTTGCAAGACAATCACCAGCATTTCCTCTTCTGGAAATTTCAATCCGTTGTTTACGCAGGTTACGGAATGCTTCAGTCATTACTTTAACAGCATCGTAAGTAAGAGCTGATGTGTACTGAAAAGAAGCAAATGTATTTGAAATATATTTAGTGAAACTGAATCAATGGTATTTGTTTATTAAGTAAATAAAGCAAAAAAAATAAATATACTGTAGGTTAAGGAATGCTGATTTGTAATGCTAATTTGTAATGCAAAAAAATAATTTAAATAATATCAACGTCTCTTGGTTGCATTTTTCCCACAATACAATCTAACTTATTTGCATATAAGAATGAGTTGCATTAAAGTGTCTGCATGGCTTCCAACAGCTTCCATTTAAAATACGCTCTCACTACATAGAATATTAATGTTGAGATGTTCAATATACTTTTATATAATCCACCTGACAAAAATTTAAAAAATAAAAATTTCTTTTGAAAAGACAGTTGTCTGTGTAGGAGAAAGCTGAACTCTGCTTAAAATAAAGTGTTATATTTTTTGATTGAAATAGACTTTCTACAATTGTTTGTATGGTATAACAGAGACCTGGTTTAATTATTTAACATCTTTTCACAAAAATAATACATTTATTGAATAAATCCCTTAAATTAAAGCTGACTGTACTTAAAATCACAAAACAGTTGCAATTTCTCTGAAAAACAATTGCAATGAGTAAATAGCCAAAATCAATTGCTCCTCAGGGTGAACCTTTAAACAGATGTTTCTCCATGTAACAAAACTGTAAAAAATGAACAATTCAAAGCAATCTCGATACAGTAGTTATCACATCAGCCTTATTTGTTTTACTGTAGAAAAATGGGCTTGTGTTTTTATCAAAAAAAATGTGTTGGTTCTTGCATTCATTTAAAGTTTCTTTCTTTCTTTCTTTCTTTCTTCTTCTTCTTCTTCTTCTTCTTCTTCTTCTTCTTCATCATCATCATCATCATCATCATCATCATCATCAAAAACCTTTTCTTTACTTGCACAGTTCAGTTCATCCAGTCTCCACTCTCTTTATATACAGAGACAATAGTAGATTTTTTTCTTATCCGAGTCCATCTCAAACTCTCCTATTTCCAGATACAATCCTCAGCACCTCCATTTAGGATTGGGAAATACTTTATATCTTGGAGAGTTGCTGCCAGGCAAGGGGATCAATCTGAGGGTTTCCATTTTCTGTACTACTAACAATGATCTGATTTCTAAATTGTTGTTTAGAAATATCTGCAAAAATCTAGCTATCTCAAAAAAGCAGCAGTTATATACCACTGGAAATATGAATACAGCTCTAAATTATAGAAAGTTAAAAGCTAACAGCAGGATTGTATTATTGCTCTAAAGCAGACTTGTCCAACCTGTGACCCGGGGGACAAATGCAGCCCTGGACAACTAATAATATAGCCCCGCAAGATTAAAGAACTTTGTTATTTATATATATTAACTACATTTTATATATATTTATATGCAGTGGACAACCATGCTCTAGACCTAAAACTCAAATGTGGATGCAATGATACATTATGGAATATGAGGTAATGGCAATAGTATGAAGATTTATCTCACATAATACATTTCATTTAATATGAAGACCCAGCACAAAATAGTCATAGAATTTAGGAGAAACAAGTACAAATCCAGTTTGGCAGTTTAATAAACTTTCAGTTTCAGTCTCATGATCTTTTTGGCTAATATGCCTTGATCTAAGTATTTGGTATGCTGAGCTTTTGGCAGCCTCTCTGGCTGGCAACTTCAGAGATAAAAGGGATCTATTCTGTGGAGCACTTCCTGGCAACTGTGCCTGTAGAAGTGAAAGCTTCTGTGAACTGCTAAGTAGTGCTCTACAGTTCATTACTTAAAATTTGAGAATACAATTCACAAGCAGAAAGTTCTGGGTTCTATTATGAAGAAGATACAAAACGTTCTGTCTACAAAGATGGAGAGTTGTTGCCATTATATGCAATTAGGCCTATTAGGAGAAGATGGGGTCAACCTATCCTCCAAACACCTGAATGCAGGACAAGAAACAATGGATGGAAACTAATCAAGGAGAGAACCAACCTATAATTAAGGAGAAATTTCTTGACAGTTGTAACAATAAATCTGTCCTGTCCTGCTCACACAGGCACACATCACATGGGTTTAAAATCTTTATTGAGGCTTTGCCAGCCCTGAATATTATTTCCCAGGATTCACCCCATGCAGGAACCAGCCCAAAACCCAATTAATCCAAGTCCAGTTCAGAAACACATAGCAAGTCTGTAAAGTCACCTACCAGGTTTGAAGTTAAAAGACAAGTCCATGGTCCGAACACAAAGCACCAAAATCCAAGTCCAAAGTTCAAGAAGCAAAGTCCAGATCCAGTAGCAGAGTCAAGGTTTCAATATATGGCAAGAATCAGATGACCCGGCAAGAACCATGATGGCTGAGCAAGTGCACGGCAAGAAACGGATGAGTTGTCTCCAGCATCACTTTGCTCCATTTGTTGAGCTAAAGAGCTGCTAACCAGTGTAACTCATTAGGAGAGGCAAGACTGCTTCCTCACAAGTAGTTTTGCTGATCTCTGTTGAACTTCCATCCTCTCAGCCCTGCATGCCCTGTGTTGTGTCCTAAGCCTGCAAAAGCAGGCTCGCGATGTTGTAAGAGTCCCAGGCATTTGCAAAAGCTGCCCGGGACCAGACTGAGTGGCGCCGGCCTTGCGCGCATGCGCAAGGCGGGAAAAGACCGCCTTGTGATTGGTTGGAATTGCCCGGGGATCAGAAGGTATAAATAGAGGCCTGCGTGCCTCTGCTCGGGTTGTTCGTACATTGGAAGCAGAGAATAAAGACTTGTTAGAAATGCTTCGTCTCAAGCGCCATTATTCTCCGGACTTAACACTGGCGATGAAGGTGGGATACAGTCTATACAGCTAGGAAAGCTTGAAGACTCACCCAAAGAAGTCCGGAAGAGGAAAACGGCGTGGAAGTCAGCGTTATCCTGCCAGTACGAAATCGCTGGAGGGTGCGTGCGGCTGAAGAAGACCCTGATCCTCGATCATGGCGAAAGTTGGGCGTTTAGCGGAATTCGACGTCTCTCACCCCGAGAGGTGGGAATCTTATGTTGCAAGAGTCGAGACGTACTTCCGCATAAGCCAGATAAGGGAGGAAGGCTTAAAGGCTGCCACGTTGTTGTGCATTTGTGGGCAAGACGCCTTTGAGATCGCCGAGAGCCTAATCGCCCCGGACTCGCTGGAAACGGTGTCATACTCTGATCTGAAGAAAGTTTTAAAGGAACACTTCCAGCCCAAGCAATCTGTCATGGCTTGGAGGCACACATTTCAACAGAGAGATCAGCGAGCTGGGGAATCAGCAAAAGAATTCATTGCGGCCTTGAGAAGAGCAGCTAAACCGTGTGATTTCAAGGACTTAGAGGAAAAACTGTGTGATGGTTTTGTGTGCGGACTGAGGAACACAGACTTACAGCAGAGGCTGTTCTCCAGGGAAGATGTCTCTTTCCAAGATGCTCTGCGAGAGGTTTCAGCAGAAGAAGCTGCAGGTGGGGCAGTCAAGAACATGCGGCCTAAGCGAAGCGCTCCAGAGACCGCCACTATCCACAAGGAAGACGTGCGAGAGGATTCGGAAGAAGATCCTGAAGAAGAGGTGGACAAGCTTTACCAAGCAGCTGGGAGGAGGTCCAAAGATCATCAGGACAAGGGCCCAGCTGAGCTTCGTTGCCTCGGATGTGGTGGACGCCACAAGCGAGCGGAATGTCGGTTCCGTTCTGCCATTTGCCGTGCGTGCGGAAAGAAAGGCCACATCGCTGCAGTCTGCCTGGGTCGACAGAAGGTACAACTGAAGGAAGAATTGAATCTGAAAGGTACCAGGGTGCCCAGTCAAAACAGGGTGGGGTTCTGTGCAACACGCCGGAACATTTTAAGAATAGGCACACACAAACCCCTTAAAAAGAAACTATCTCTTAAAGTGAAATTGCAGGGAGTTCCATTGTCGATGGAACTTGACATGGTGTCTGCCCTATCCATAATTTCCCTCAACACATTTCACAAAATCTGCAGCAGCAGTGGCCAGCGAGTTTCGTTAAGGCCCTCTAATGTAATCCTTACGGATTTCCAAAATTCTCAAGTGTGCGTTAAGGGGGAGGCCACCCTTAAGGTACAGTACAAGAATTTTGCAGGCCCCCTAGACGTGTTGGTTGTGGGGGGTGAGCGAACGAGTCTCATTGGACTCGATTGGTTTGAGGCCTTGGGAATTCAAGTAACAGGGCTACATAAATTGCAAACAAAGACCCTTGCAGACGTATACAAGGAGTTTGCAGATGTGTTCAGTTCTGAACTAGGGTCCTACACAGGACCTCCAATTTCACTAAAGCTAGATCCAATGGTACAGCCCATCAGGGTTAAACCTAGGAGAGTACCATTTGCTCTTAAGAGTAAGATTGACGCTGAACTGGACAAGTTGTTCCAGCAAGGCATTCTAGAGCCTGTAGATTCCAGCCCGTGGGAAACCCCCATTGTAACGCCTTTAAAGGCAAACGGGGACATCTGGATTTGTGCTGACTACAAGTGCACACTAAACAAGGCCCTACAGCAACATGCTTATCCTGTGCCTGTAGTGAGCCACATTCTGGCTTCTCTCAAGGAGGGAAATTTTTTTGCTAAGCTTGATTTGGCTCAAGCATATCAACAGCTGCCTGTTGATGATGCAGCAGCTGAGGCCCAAACTATTGTCACCCATCGTGGAGCTTTCAAGGTGAAGAGGTTACAGTTTGGGGTGAATGTCGCTCCTGGCATTTTTCAGAGTGTAATGGAAAACACCCTGAGGGGTATTCCTGGCGTGTGTCCTTATTTTGATGACGTTCTCATCGCAGGTGACTCTTCACAAATGCTGGCTGAGAGGTTAAGGGATGTTTTGCTTCGTTTCCGAAGAGCAGGTCCTAAATTAAAACAGGACAAATGTAAGATTGGTGTGCATTCCACTGACTTCCTGGGATTCAGGATAGATGCTCAGGGTATCCACCCGTCTGATGCTAAGCTCAAAGCTATTCAGAAGGCTCCAAGCCCCAAGTCTAAGGGCGAATTGCAAG